ACAGATAGTTAGTTATGTGAATAGATGTAGCAGTATGCATTGTTTCATCTCTACTAATAAATTAAACAATTCTTCTAAGATACTTGTATCAGTTATTTAGTTTCCTACAGAAAATAGTACTTGGCTGCTTCTATCAAGTTAACTTCTTTTATGAAGATTTAAAGGAACCCCATGATGGTGCAGAAGGTGTTGGCTAGCTTGCCCCAGGTAGTGAGCATGAACAAATGTTTTGCTAGTATTAGGAGGTTATTTAAAATATAAAATCTTTCATGCTTTCATTTATCTAGAAACCATTGCCGGATACTAGCTACGTGAGTCATCAGAATAGTTCAAATATTCAACTATTTATGTACAGAAAAATGAAAAATATTATCTTCCATCCTTTAGGTATATAATATCATCAGAGTTACAGTATTTCAGAGACCTCTTCAGCACTCTTTTACTACTTTATTTTTTTCCAGAGAGATATTTAAAAAGTGAGATGCTGTGTTGAGAGGTAAAGGAACCAGTGCTGAAAGGGACAATAGATTCATTCTACTCTTCAGGTAGAGTTTTATTCCTGGTACTTCACACTGTAATCTATCCTTTACAGAAAAGCAAATCTGGTAGGCTTTAAGCAAATCTAGAGCTTCACAAGTTGTATCCATTTCCACATTAAGTTAGTGGACTTTTTCTTTTTTTATTAACAGAATAAAATAATCATTTGTTGTTTTCAGTATAAGGATGCTGAAATTTTGGCATGAATCTATATTGCCCCTGTGCCAATCAAATGTATTGCAGCTCAGCAGTAGTTATACTATGAGAGGGTCACTGCTGCTTGAGCTAAAATATGCCCGTAGCATTTTTAAAGTAGATGAACATGATAGTTTTGCTTGATATTGAATGCAACAGCATGGTAGTTCCTGTGGAGAATACATTGAATTCAGTGACTCTTCTAATTGTAACAAAGAGTTTCAGAGCCAGCCTCTTGGGAAGTTTACAAAATAAGTCTTTTTGTAAGATGTCTTGTGTTTGCCACACATACCATCAGCATTAAATTATATCATTATTTTATTCTTTTCTATTGCTTTGGTGGTAGTTTGCATTCTCTTCTCTTGCCATATCCCTGTCACTTTGTTTCTTGAAAAGTGCGAATCAGGCTTAGAGTTGCAATATAAACACTAATCTCTATAGATTAAAAAACCCTCCTATGTGGTAAAGGTAGTCTTCTGCATGGAAGCATTATTAGAAGGAAAAATGAAAATATTAGGAGAGATGCTTTGTTCCTAAGTCCTGACTCCAGTATTAGAATCTATTCTTTCTTTAATTTGCCATGTGTAATTTTTAACTGGAAAAATATGTATTCGGTAATTACTCCATTTATTTTTTTATTGTAACATACTTTCCAGTCTTTCAGCTTTTTCAGACTAATATGTCTGGCTGAGATTTCATTTTTGGTTCTTGCTTGAAAGTGCTTTTTAAAAATCTCTGAACAGACATGGTGCAGCCATTCTGAAGCAAAAGAAAATGTGGGGAGATGTAGGCACTTTTCTATTGGCATCCAGCTCAGTATGACTCTAAATGTTTTATTGTTACAGTTAGGAAAAAAGAAAATAAACCTACTGTTCAGGTGATTGAGATTTGAAAGGTGCAATTTAGGTTAGAAATATTCCTCACTGAAGAGTTATAGAAGGCCTGCTATAGAGGAAGCTGGTATTGATTTGACTAAGTTTTATAAGCCTCTGAAAACTGCATACCAGGCACGTGCATACCCACAGTTAGGTCGATTTGCATCTGTGCACTCATCTCCATGTGCACTTCTCAAGAGTGCTTATTTCACGTATGATATGAGACCCAAAGTCTGTTACCTTATTTTTCACCCGTTTTTCTTACTCATAAATGTCCTATGAGCCTTGCCTCATGCCTACAGGGCTGGGAATGAAGAGAGCCAAAGTTCTATTTTTCTGTATGCTTGGCTCTTTATGATTTCACTGTTTTTACATTATTTTGAATACAACATTAATAGGGCTATAGCTGAAATACGAATGCTGTAGTTTGGTGTAGCAGTAGTTGCAATAAAATTTTGATGGCTTTTTTGTGAAGAAATATGAGAGGGTTTTATGAGGGTACCTCATTGAGAGTTTTTGAATATCATGTGTAATGATGCACCAGTAGCTGATTTTGATGTCTTTTGGCTTTCATAGATGCACACTTTAAAAAAAGAAATAAAATGGGGTTGTGATGCCTAATGTTTACACTATAAATATTTGATATGTATAAGTATCAAAGTTGAATAAGGTTAGCTACTACAGTAGCTGATGTAGTTTGTATAGATCAGGGTGTGCAATTATTTGGGCCTGAGGGCCACCTAAGGAGCTTTGGTGAGCTGTTGCAGGCTGGGTTAGCACTCCCCACCGTCCCACAACAGCTCACCACAACTCCCTGAGTGGCTTTGCCCCTGGGCTGGGTGGGTCTGATGGACCCACTGGGGGACAGATGAAATCCTTGGTGGGCCGGATGTGGCCTGCAAACCATATTTTACCCACTAGGGGTGCACCAATAAACCTTTTTTTTTGGCCGATACCGATGGCTGATTTACTAACCAACCATATTAGCTGGTATTGATCTGATAGCCAGTATGCAGTACGGCAGCTTGGAGAGCAGTGTTCAGCTGGTAATTCTGTGGGGGGGGGGGAAGGGGGGTGTGCAGATTGAAGTCTCTATGGTGAGGGAGGGAGTGGAGCTGGGACAGAGCCAGGCACTGCCCAGCCCAGCTGGGGTGCGGTGCAGGACAAAGCCACAGGTAGCTCATCCGTGGGGGGAGGCAGAATCGTTTGTGGGGGGACAGAAGGGGGGCAGCTCTGTGCTGCTGCGCACACCCCAAAGGGAGGTATGGGGGGGCATGTGCCCCACAGATTTCTGAACATGGTGATAGTGGGCTACAGGTTGGGGGCCAGGAGCTGTGCCAGCCACTTACCAGCAGCGGTGCTGGGCCAGGGCTGTGCTCAGGGCAGGAAGGGGCAGTGGGGTAGGTGACAGTGGCGCTGGCAGAGGTGGCTGCGGTGAATTCTGGGGTGGCTGTAGCCTACCCTGTAGCCACCCCTCCCAGCACTGCTGCTGCCTGCCTTGCCCTGAGCATTTCTCTTTCCCAGCCCCCCTGCTAGGAAGAGACTAGTGCAGCCTTCCCTCGCTGCATGCACAAACCCTGGGGGTGCACGCAGCAGTGGGGAGTAGTCCACCCCCTCCATAGCTCTGTCTTGTGTCCTGCCCTGCCCTCTGGGCAATGTCTGTCCTTGCCCTACTCCCTCCCTCATTGTAGGGACCTTGATCTGCCCCTTGTCTCCTCCCCCACCCCACAAAGACTTGCTGGCTAGGCACTGCTCTCCAAGCTGCCAGGCTGCATTCCTGGCCGCATGCATACTTCATCTGTGTGAATGCACATGGCATTTATCAGTGACGTCATCAGCTACATTGGCCAAAAAAGCTGATTGCTGATTAATGTCAATTTTCCTTTTATCAGTGCTGATATCATATGGTCCGATATATCGGAGTACCTCTGTTGCCCGCCCCTGGTACACAGCATTCTTATTTGATTCATGCAAATCCTCCTTTAATTTTCTATTATTGAGATTCGGATAGCTTTGCTTGGATTGTTGAGTCACAAATTAGTTCTTTAAAAAAAAAAAAGTAGTGTTTTTTCCCAGAAATTTGTCAAAACTATATTAAAGTAGAACTATTGGATTATAGGACAAACTTAAAGTACAGAATTACGTTACTTGCGTAAAATTATATGTAAATAAATGTAAAAACGTTATGCTTGAAATGCTGAAAACTTATGTTATGAAATGTCAGAAACTAAGTGATCCCTGCAATTTTAATGTGTCCCCTTTGTGCCATGTGTATTATTCTATAATCTTTAATTATATGATTACACATTCTCTTCCACAGGACCTTGGGGTGCAAGTAGTTGGAGCTTATTTGTTAGCAGTACTCTCTGGCTTTCTCTGGAAGGGAGACTATAGATACTGCCTCAGTGTCTCAAGATGGGCACTGAAAATTAGTGTTTGACAGTTTTAGCATTAATGTCTAGTATGTGTAAGTCCTTTTACATGATTTGTATGATAAGAATAATACCTCCATTTCCATCTTTGGTTTTCTTTGTATGTTTGTGAAGCGGTCAGATCCTACTGTATCTAATGTCAAAGAAAAGTCCTTTTAGAAGTAAAGAATTCTTATTTCCTGTTAGCACAGTTTGTGGCATGCAGTAAGTGTCCCATAAAATCATATATTAAATGCTGTGTGTTAAAAGAAATCCTGAATAGCCACCATTTTTGACCATCCGTTATTCCACAGACAGCATAAATTTTGGGCCTGTACAAAAAAATAACATATGACTAGCATAATGCAGTATACACATAGGAGACAAATTAAATTTGTGGGGATAGACCCTCATTTTGACTTTCTTATTTTTGACTGTGCAACATTGCAATTTTAAGGTGTCTGAATATAGATTATTTTTTTTAAATGCAGCATCTAGAGTTGGAAAAAAAAACCCTAAAAATAACTTCCATCATGTAGTCACGTATTTAACCATTGCACAGGTTACCAAAATTTGAATTTCCCAACCTTTCTGATTTTAATCATACAACTGTAATGTCTTCCTAACCTGAATGTTTATACTGTTACAATATACATTGTTTCATGTAGTTATTGTGTACAAGTTGCTTGTAAGATTATTATAGTTGTCATGGACACATCTTAGTCTCAGTTAAATTTGTGCTCTTTCCAATTCACATAGGGTCATAGGAGCTATGCATATAGCTGGGGGGGGGACGTTTTCCACTGAACAATCCAGACATCTTTTTCATCACACTTTATCTAGCTTCTCAAACTTAAAAAGATTAAACAAAAACATCATCTTTAGGTAACTTTTGATAAAACATTAGTAACTTTTACATTCATTTTTATTATTGTTAGCTAAATGATATATACATTGTTATTAACTGGAAACTTTATTGCAGGCAATTGTCCTTTGTTTTCGACTGCACTTCACAAAAGATAATATCACAAATAACACAGCTGCAGCTACAGTGCGACAAGTAGTTACTGTTGTTTTTGAGAGAGTGGTTGCTGAAGATGAACGATACAAAGGTGGATATATGTTCCTTTTTTGTGTTGTGTACATTAGATCTGTTTCTGTTAGATTTATATGTATATATTTTTAAAGTGTCTGTCTTAACTATGTAAAATTACCAAAAAGCACAGACCTTATAAATGCTACAAAAATCACAGTAGTTATTTATTGTTGGAAAGGATTACCTTTTTGTCCTTACATTTGTAAAGAATATAGTATAATAAATTGCTGATTGCGATTGGATGATGAACTCCTCATCCCCTGCTCCTAGTCCCTTTTTATACAGAATAAACAGGCTAGTATGGTATGAAGTAGTTTCAAAAGGTGGCATTGATTTTTTTTTTTTTTTTTTTTTTTCCCC